CAGCCCGCGCCCTACTCCGCAGGTGAGCGAGCCCCAGTCCAGCCTCCCTCCAAATCCCGCGGAAGCCCCCGCCTCTGCCCTGCTCATAAATGAATGGGACTGTCCCCACAACCGTCCCCATCCCTGCCAGACCCTCCAATGCTCCGTGAAACCCTCGGTAATACAGGGTTCCCCTTGGCAGGGATGGGCCCCACCCCGTCATGCCCCCATTCCTCTTCGTCAATGCCCAGTGTGTCTGTCCCGTGCCCTTCGGGTCGGGAAAATGCATGCCTGGTCCAGCCCGACACTCCTCAGGGCCTCCCTTCCTCGCCTACAAAGACTGACCACCAAACCCTCCATCTCCCGTATCCTGGGAAGAGACCCCAGCTCAGTCTACCCCCTCCCCGTTACCCCTTCCCCCACGTGATGGCGAGCCCAGCAGGAACCCTTGGGGCAGATGAGCTGCCCAGACGGAAACCTTCCTACAGCCTCAGCGCCACCAGGCCCCTCGGCCCTGTCTTACACCCACCGGGCCTGGGCCTCCAACCCTTCTGTACCAAGGAAACCAGTTCTCATAGCCCGCAGCAAAGGGGACGGGGTCACTACGCCACTTACATTTCCTTCATCCCTCGGAGACTCTCCCAGCTAGAGTCCCACAGAACCCAGGAGCAGAACCCAGGAGCAGCTCCTGCCTTCCAAATCCCCAACCTAGACTCCATCTGGAGCCTCAGCCCCACCAAGCTCTCGGTCATCACCATCCCTCAGATTAGGGTCCCAGCCTGCCCCACCCAGTCTCCTATGTCCTTCCCTCCTGTGAAGATCACCAGGGACCCAGGTGGAAGAATGGGGCCTGGGAGAGGGGCAGTACCTGGATCTGAGAAATGAGAACCAGGGAGATATGGCCAGGGGCCGGCTCAGGGATGGGGAGACCTAGGCCAGAGGAGTACAGAGTTGGGGAGTTGGGGACAGGAAATGGGGGAGGGTGGGCCCCAGGGAGAGAGGGATACGGTGCGAAGAGGTGGGAACAGAGGTGGGAAGATTGGAGACTCGGGGCCCAGGGTTGTGGAGATGGAGATAAGAACCAGATCTTGGGGACAGGAGCTTGTGTAGAGAAGATCAAAGCAGAGTGGAAACAGATGAGTACAATGGGCACAGGAATGGAGGGCCGGGACTGAATTAGGGGAGGTTGGGACCTGGAGGGAGGAGACAAAGATGAAGGAGACTGAGGATGGAGAGCATGCTGGAACCTCATCTGAGGTTAGAGACAGGAATGGGGAGGTCGAGTCAGAAGCACTGTCTACAGGGTCGTGGAGACGGGGATGGGGAGTAGGAAGGGCTGAGAAGGAGATGGGCCAGGAGAAGGCACCTGGGAGGAAGCGGGCAAAGATGGAGGAACCTGGTGGGGAGAAGCGAGAGCCCTTTTCAATGGGCGCAAAGACAAGGGTGGCCCAGAAGGGGACTTCGAAGAGAAATCTGAATGGAAGACGAGGAGAGAGGGCACTGGGAGAAGAATGGGGTCCAGGGATGCGAGACAGGGCTGAACAAATGAGGCCTGGGAAGGAGAGACAGAGGGGCCCAGGGGGCCAATCTGCGCGCAGCGAAGAGCCGGTGGCAGGGCTGGAAGTAGGCCGGCGGGAGTCGAAGGCCCAGGGCCCAAGCCAGGGGGGAAATTCGCGACGCTGATGAGACCCGACAGACATCCTGGGCTAGGGCGGACAGAGTAGGACCTGAAGTCAGACGGGCGGAGGGCTGAGAGAGACACGCCAAATAGAGGGTCGGAGGGGCGGGTGGTGGCGAGGGGCGGGGTTAGTGGAAGCAGTTGCGCGCGAGGCCTTGGCTGGACGGCCAGATTCTGGTTTCCTCCGGGCTGCTCTTGGGCCCCAGGTCTCCCTGATCCTGGGCTGGTCCACTTTCACCCCTGCCGCTCCTTTGAGAGGAAGGACGCTCTGCCCAGGCTGGAAAACCTAGCGAAGGGGCCGGGCCAGGGACTGGGGTGGTGCGCGATTCCGTCTGGGGCAGGACCGCGCAGGCCGGTCCTCTCACCTCCACCCTCGCTGCCCTGCCCTCCCGCACACATCCGCAGTGCCCTACAAGTTCTTCCCAGAGCCGTCGGGCCTGCACGAGAAGCGCAAGCAGCGACGCATCCGCACCACGTTCACCAGCGCTCAGCTCAAGGAGCTGGAGCGGGTCTTCGCCGAGACCCACTACCCGGACATCTACACCCGCGAGGAGCTGGCGCTCAAGATCGACCTCACGGAGGCTCGGGTGCAGGTGCGTGCACGCACGTGTGTGTACGGAAGTGTGTGTGATGAGGGTGCGGGACGTTGGTGCCTGACACCTGGGGAGCCAGGAGCAGCTGGGACCAGTGCGCGGTCGGAGTGGTTAGGCAGCCGGGGAGGCGCCGAATCAGGACTTGGAAAAGGCCCTCGGGGGTCTTTTAAACTCGAGCTGTTTAGCCTTATGCTTCCTCCATGCCCATTCCCCCCTCAACCTCCCTCCTAGGGCCCGGATGTTCCCAGTGACTGATGCTTGAGAAGCCAGGAGGAAGACAGGGCCAGTGGGTAGAGGGGGAGCCCCAGGTGACCTCAGGGCTGAGCCCGCAGGAGCGGGCACAGACCAGTCAACACCTCCAGGTCCCCTCCCCAGCGCTGCCGCGGTGAAACCCTGAGCCCGGAAAGCTGAGCTTGGGGCAGGTGTGGGGCGGGAGCGCCGGGCCAGTTCGGCCTCTGTATAAATCTAGGAGCAGATGCTCGGCTGGCCGGCCTCGAGTGGGGGCCCTGGGCTAAAGGCGGCCCTTGTGCCCTGACCCTCTCTTCAGGGCTCGGGTCGCTACAGGCAGCAACTCCCGGAGCTTCCGAAAAGAGGGAATGGGGAGGGGGCTTAGGTGAGGAGAGAGGCTGCAGGGTGCCCTCTAGACGCCCACGAACACTGGGAGCCGCGGAGTCCACAGGTGGGCAGATCCCGGGGCAAGAACTGGGGCGGGTGGAGGGGAGGGCAGCGCGGAGAGGGACGCTGCGGCCCTTTCC